CAGTAATAAGTATTTAAAATTAATTCGTATTATAAGTTTTGTTTTAGGTTTTACAAGAATTGTAAGCAAGATCAAAAGCAGGTAGGTAATTTACAAGTGGGAGAATTGAGAGCAGCTGAAGAAACTTTAATAAAATTAGTACAGGGTGAGTATTTTATGAATGAGATAAATGATCTTAAAAAATCAGGTATTGTTCCAAGAAATAGTTCTATAAAAAGTCTTAACCCTTTCATTGACAGTAATGGACTGTTGAGAGTTGGAGGTAGATTAAAAAAATAGCAATTTAACTTATGAGAAAAAATTTCCTATTATTCTGCCTTCTAAACATAAATTAACAGAGTTAATAGTTAATTACTATCATTTAAAATATTTGCATGTGGGTCCTCAATCTTTGTTATATCATATAAGACAAAAATTTTGGATTGTAAATGGTAGAAATGTTTGTAGAAAAATTGTAAAAAATTGTATAATATGTTTTAAAGCTAATCCCATTGTAACTCAGCAAATCATGGGTGATTTACCCAAGGAAAGAATCACAGCTAATCTTACATTCAATTGTACTGGAGTTGACCTCTGTGGCCCATTCTTAATTAAATACAAAAACCAGAGAAAAGGTATATATCAGAAAGTTTATGTGTGTATATTCATTTGTATGGTTACTAAGGCCATTCATTTAGAGCTGATAACAGACCTAACATCTGAAGCATTAATAGCTACCTTGAAACGTTTCTTTGAAGAGGTAAAAGTTTAACACTATTTAGTGATAACGCTACTAAATTTTGTAGGTGCAAATGCAGAATTAAAGAGGTTAAATAAACTAGATGAGCTTTTAGCTGGTTATTTGAGTTCCGAGAATATTGAATGGAAATTTCTCCCTCCCAGAGCACCCAATTTTGGAGGCTGGAGTTAAATCTTCTAAGTACCACTTCAAACGTGTCATAGGTAATGCAAAATTGACATTTGAACAATTTTTAACAATTATGATTCAGATAGAAGGAATTTTAAATTCCCGACCATTGACACCCTTGTCTTCAGACATTGATGATTTAGAGGTTCTAACACCTGGGCATTTTTTAATTGGTAGAGCAATTAATTCGATCCCTGAGCCAGATATCACGAAAGTTAACATTAACAGGTTAAAATTGTGGCAACAGATCACAAGAATTAGTACAAATTATCTGGAAAAAATGGAACTCAATTATTGGAGTGGAAAAAGTCATTTACAAAATCGATCTAAATGGCAAAGTTCTAAAAACAATATGCAAGTTGGAGACATGGTCTTAATTAAAGATAATTTGCCTTGTTGTAATTGGGCGGTTGGTCGTATAATAGAAGTATTTTATGGTAAAGATGGAAAGGTTCGCGTGTGTAATGTAAAAACTCAAACTGGAACTTTCAAACGACCAATTACCAAATTATGTGTCTTACCAATACAAAAATGAGTATTGTCTTTATAGTTATTGTACAGTATTGAATGTATTTCACATAAAATGTCATTATGTAACTGAAATGTTATATTGTATTGCTTTGAGTTGTACGCTTATGTATATGGTAAATGTCTAATTATAATAATGATTTTTATGTAATAGTACTTATTCAAAATTGTTTATGATATACTTATTTAATTTTTTTGTGCTATATCTTAATTACAATAGTTGAATGCTAAGCATTGCAACGCGGGGCGGCATGTTCGCGCCTGCGCATCTAAATTGTAATCCACGCATGCACATCTGTAATGTGATGATCAAACGAGTTTGAGAATCGCCATCGACGGTGTAAGAGGGCTGGTCACAGCTATGAGTTAATTGTAATTAATTATGAGAATTAATAAAGAATCGAACCAGCGAATTTATTTAGTGTGTGTTATTTGGGACGAGACCCAAACAACGCAATTTCCTGCATCATGGTCAGAGTCGTAATTTCGAACACCTTCTTTAGTGGTGGTCTGTTTTTAATTTCGAATACCTTCTTTGATGATGATCGTCTGTTTTTGCTCTTATTTCTTGATTTCAGCTGTAACGTAATAAACATTATTCTAAGCCCATTCGTGTATTTAATTTCTTGTGTTTTGTGTCGTTCCTACAGCGCCAGGAAAGCATTTCCAACCATGCATTGTTACGTGTTTTTCTATATTCTAGGTATACTCTAACTCTCCTGAAAGTTTGTAACCGATTTGCTGAAATACTCTGTATATCTCCCGCTCTGCTGGAGTGATTGACGGAATTCAACTTGAGTTTTTATGCCTCAAAAGCGCGACTTAAGATATATAGCATTGTTCTAACATAGGAACTTTGACACAAAATCAGACTTTTTCTACAGTATTTCTGCCTTGCTTGTGATCACTCTAGGTCAGATTATTGTTTGGAGAAATTTCAAAGTATTTTGCTTTATTTAACTTTGGGACAGTTTCATTAAAAATGTAAGTGTACTCTGGGCGAAGTTTTATTTTTCTTCCATTTGATTAAAAGCTATTGAGATTTTTCTGCGTTAATGGAATTCTTAATTTGCACCAGTTCTTAATATTTAACATTTGTTTCTGTAGCTTTATAATCGCGTGATTATTATTAGCAGATTTTACGACTCACGCCATATAATGGCCATATCACTGAAGAAAATAATTTTACTTAAGGTCAATTTTGAGTAAATCAGCTGCGAAGAATAATAACCGGTCAGTTATAAACCTTCAAGGCATTTATTAATCTAACATCAGAGAGCACTGACATAGAATTTTCTATTCGTGACAAATGACAAGATCGGTAGAATAGTTTGTCCGTACAAGTTTAAATGAATTAACTTGTATAGATCTGCATCTCGTGCCAGACGCGGTTGAAGGGCTTTCGCCACGTTCAGCACGTGTAAGGCAATATTAGTCTTGTTGTGCAGGGCTGCACCAATGAACTCAATCGATTAAGCTGCTTAGTAGTTGACAATTTCTTCTTGAATCCAAATTTGGCTAATCTTTGGAATATGGTAACAGGTAGTTTGGCGACATTTTGGTAAGGCGATAAAAGTTACTAGCTAGGACTTTAGTAGTGTACATGGATAAAGTCAAGAGTGTGCGCAATGCCATTTTTGTGCAATTCTGGGATGTTTTTTTAAGTGAAAATAGGTCGACGTGTACATGGATGATACCGTGTATGTGCAATTCTTAAAAACGCGGCAAGCAGTTTCGATTCTGCACTTTATCCCAATTTCGCACCTAATCTTCGTCATGATTAAGCATTTTTGTTCCATAAAAGTTCTAGTATAAACGTAATTCCGCTAGCAGATTGCTGGAAAAATGTTGAGTAAAAAAAAAAAGAAAACATGCCTTTACTTCGTGAAAGCAAAACGGCGTCCAATACAAAACTAGCAGGTTGCTGTAACAGGGTTAGTTGCCAAATTTTCGCCAAAAAATCGCCAAGTTACCATAATCCAAAGATTAACCCCAAATTTCTTTGTTGGTAGGAGCATAAGATACGGTTGGATTCTGCACATAATTCTTAGACGTCGCCTTCTCGACCACAGATAATGGATAGTCGCACTTCAAACAAAACGCCCATAACATCAAAGTGTGGAATACTTTTAGCTTTCAAAATAAGCTTCATGAGCTTCAGAACTTTATTATTTATTATGATGTGAATATAGCATCAATCTTAATATTTAACATTTGTTTGAACAAGACTATGCCACGCCGGGTAATCTAAAAATAACCAACTACAGATCGTGCAGGCGCGATTGTCTCAATTACAGTGCGATGCAATTGATGGGTGACAAAACAACCTAAAAGTTGAATTGGTGAATCTTTACATTACGTAACTTGGCGATTTTTTGGCGAAAATTTGGCGACCAACTCTGCTACAGCTACCTGCTAGTTTTGTTTTGGACGCCATTTTGTTTTCACGAAGTAAAGGCGTGGTTTTTTTTTTTTTTTTTTTTTTTAAACTCTTACTCAACCTTTTTTCCAACAATCTGCTAGCCGAATTACGCTTATACTAGAACTTTTATGAAAAAAAATGCTTAAGTATGAGGAAGATTAGGTGCGAAATTGGGAGAAAGTGCAGAATCGCAAACTGCTTGCCACGGTTTTAAGAATTGCACATACACGGTATCCATGTATACGTCGACTTATTTTCACTTCAAAAAAATCCCAGAATTGCAGAAAATGGCATTGCGCACACTTTTGACTTTATCTACGTACACATTGACGTATTTTCACTTAAAAAGTCAAAGAAAATTGGCGAAAACCCAATTCTTCTTACTCTTGTAAAAAGCACCAAACAAATAAGTGGGCGATTCTGCACTTTAGCAGCGAAATTGTTTTTAAGTCCTTATTAGCTAAAATCACGATCGGAATTTTCCGAAAAATTAAACATTACATGTCTCATGATCTCTCATTTCTCTGAGACAAAATGATCTGCGATTCAAAATAATCTGCGATTCGAATTGTGTACTTCTCAGATTATTGCTAAAGTCCCAGCTAGTAACCTTTATCGCCTTACCAAAATGTCGCCAAACTACCTGTTGCCATATTCTAAAGATTAGCCGTTGAATTTGGGGAGAATACGAGCAATTGTGATAGAAGGAGGGAAAAGATAAAGATGAAAGGGTCTGTTTGATTTTGTTGAAAGGTCCATTGATGAAAAGGTTTGTTTGTAACAAAAAAAGTGTGGCTTTTTACAATATATTGCAGATAGAAAAGCTGGTTTCATTATTTTACATTTTGGGAAGATTTCGCAGCCAAAGCTAGAAAACTAACACAGAAATTTAAAAGTTAATTTTATAGTAGTACTTCCAATTATTATTGCCAACAATAAAAGAAATAAAATGGCTTATTGAAATTGTAACCAGGATTTAAAATCCATTGCTTTCGTTCTTGAAAAAAAATAAACTATTATTACTGAATTTCGAAAAATATTTTTTTTAATAAAGTGTTTTGTTTATGTTTCAAGAAATTTTACTGCAAAATATTTTTGTGAACGAATAAGGATGCAATATATATATATTTTTATTTTTGACAGATTGACTGGCTTAGATATCTCAACTTACTTTTGAATGATGAAATTGATCAAAATGAACCCATCGTAGTTATGTCTTCAAATTATATCATTGAATTCTCCCGTTTCATCAGGGAAGCAGATAAGAGGTAAAATACAAAGCATAAGGATATCTTTTTATATATAAACAGTTATTTAAAAGAAAATTTATATTATAAACCTTTGATACTTAAAAAAGTCGCAAATAAGACTTAAATTAATTTTGTCTATATAAGCTAATATTTTTAAGTGGAAAAAAGGAAATATTATAAATAAGTATTGCTACGAATTTTGTATATAGATAGATGATTTTAGTTTAATCATAGGTGAAACTCATGTTTTGCTACGTAATGTAACGTGAAACATCTCAAGAGAGAAGCTAAGCCGGAAATGTTAGAATACAGTGGCAAGTCTTTTTAACATTGAGTAAAAGAGTATCTCATCAATTTGGCGAGATATCACCAAGCTGACAGCTGTTTTTGGCGACTTATTTTGTTGTCAAATTTTCCGATAAATCGCCAAAAGCCACCAAAATGGCAACCGTTTGACGATATTTCGGTCTGGTCTCTGTATCATATTAATAGGCATTGTAATTAAATAAACATAATTGATCATTATATTAGCTGCAACCACCCTCATACTGCTTTCCTTTAATTTCGAGAATCAGAAAGTATTAGAAATATTTCGGCGGCTGGTTGAAAACTATATAAGACCAGAGAGATAGAATCTGCTCTCAGTTAGTTTTTGTTAAGGTTACGAGTTGTTAGTTGAGCGTGAGATCGGATTAGCTTTCTCTTTAGACTCGCTTTGCGTTGCGTTGTTTTTAAAATTCTTAGTAGTTTGAAATTTAACAACTGATTGGGTACTTACGTATTAACGCAACCAGGCCAAAATTCGCATAAATTGACAAATTTGGCAACCCTACTTACGGGAACCCTACGTGTTATACGCAGTTTGGTTGATCTTTACATTACGGTAACTGGTAGTTTGGCGACATTTTGGAGGCGATAAAGGTTACTACCTGGGACTTTGGTAATAATGTGAGCAGTACTGAGTTCCGATTACGCATTATTTTGTGTGGGGGAAATGAGAGATCATGGGATTTGTCATGTGATATTAATGGACGAATTACGGTTCTTTAATCAGAAAAGGGGGGAAATCGGGAAAAAATCTGGAAATTTTGTATTTGGCTTTATTCTGTGTTGTGTGAAATAGTGTTTGTGAATTTTTGGATCCCATGGCCGTAAGTAAAGTGAATTCGAAATGGGTATTTAGTGGTATTGAAAAGGATAGTAAGAAATGTTTTTTAAGGTTGTGTGAGAGAGAAATAAACATGTTTTATTATGTTATTTATTTTACCTGGTATCTTGCTTTGAAAGATAAGTATGATTTTAAAGATTTGAAAGAGAATGAAGAAAAGTGTATCCGCCACGTAATGAAGATTCTGAAGGAGATTAGGTAAGTTAGTATTTTTAATTATTTTTATGCATTGTTGGAAATGTAAGGTGGAAAGGAATTTGGTATTATTGGGAAAATTGTTATTAGCAATGATTTAGTTTAAAGTAATTAGGATTGTAAGGTAATTTTTATTAATTGAATGTATGTGCTCATGTATATTTTTAAGTGGTGTTTTTGAATTTAATTATTTTAATGAAATGATAGTTATTTTGTGAATTTTATACTTGTAGGAATTTGGTGTATGTTTAAGTTGAAATAAATGTGCATGGAAATAATTTAAATATTTGATAATAAATATTTGTAATGCTTCATGTATGAATTCGTTGGTGACGTGTATAATGTAATAGATGATTTAGAGGTAAAAGTTTTTGGATATTTTATTTATTTTATATGTGGAAATGTTCATATTTGTAAAGGGTAAATACTTTTTCGCGATCATGGTAATTTCATATATGTTCTTTTTTACCGGGTTTAAAGATTGAGAAAATTGTCATGTATTTTCGTGAAATTTTTTTTAATTTATGAGAAAAAGCAGTGTACATGGATATAGTGAAGAGTGTGCGGAATGCCATTTTTGTGCAATTCTGGGATGTTTTTTTAAAGTAAAAATAAGTCGACGTGTACATGGTTCAGTGATATTTAATGAAATGATAGTTATTTTGTGAATTTTATGCTTGTAGGAATTTGGTTTACGTTTAAGTTGAAATAAACGTGCATGGAAAAATTTAAATATTTGATACTAAATATTTGTAATGCTTCATGTATGAATTCGTTGGTGACGTGTATAATGTAATGGATGATTTAGAGGTAAAAGTTTTTGGATATTTTATTTATTTTATATGTGGAAATGTTCATATTTGTAAACGGTAAATACTTTTTCGCGATCAGGTAATTTCATATATGTTCTTTTTACCGGGTTTAAAGATTGAGAAAATTGTCATGTATTTTTCGTGAAATTTTTCGAATTTATGAGAAAAAAGCAGTGTACATGGATATAGTGAAGAGTGTGCGCAATGCCATTTTTGTGCAATGCAATTCTGGGATGTTTTTTTAAGTAAAAATAAGTCGGCGTGTACATGGTTTATGTGTATGTGTTATTTTGAAAAACGCGTAAGGTGTATGGTATTGTGCACTTTTTCCGAATTTTGCAGTGAATATTTGTCATGATTAAGCAGTTTTGTTTGATAAAATTTCTAGCATTAGTGTAATTCGGCTAGTAGATTGTTGGAAGAAGTGTTCAGTAGATAAGAAGAAAAGAAACATGTCTTTACTTCGTGAAGACAAAATGGCGGCGGGGAAAAAAAAAATAGAGGGTTGCTGTAGGGGAGTTAATCGCCAAATTTTCGCCAAAAATCGCCAAGTTACCGTAATGTAAAGATCAACCCGCAGTTTTGTAAAAACAGCATGTGGATATTCACAAAATTTTCCTGCATTTTCGTGCAAATTTTTGTAATTTATGAGAAAATAGCAGTGTACATGGATAAAGTCAAGGTGTGCGCAATGCCATTTTTGTGCAATTCTGGGATGTTTTTTTAAGTAAAAATAAGTCGACATGTACATGGTTACGGCAAATACGGTTTTCAATCAGTGCTAAAAGCAATAGCCGACAGATTTCCGCCGAAAAAATAATTCTGCAACTTATTCAAATTCGAAACCGGAAGGGTTTAATTTATATTTTAAAACAAAATAATATAAAAATCTGTATTAAAAATTATCTGTAATTAATAAATGTACATTTTATTTCTATTCATACTTTTTTTACTAAAACTTACAAATAGCACCAACCTGGTTGCGATAATACGTAAGTACCACTGATTGTACTGAGTGTCTTCGATACTGGTATCCTTTCTGCATTATCATTCTCAGTTATAAACCTTAAGAAAAATATGCCAAGCTATTCGGGAAAATACATTTCTGTTTCTGGAAAAGTCTGCTGATTTCAATGAAAATTGGTATCTAAAGAAAGGGAAGATTATCACTCTTTAAAAAGTTATCGGAATATATACTTTGCTGCCTAGAATTGTTTTATTTTTGAACCACTGTCACTCTTTCGAGTCTGTTATCTGAGTATTGGACACAGAATATAATTAAAAGTAAAATTGATAAAGCAGTAAGGAGTACAGTAAACCAATCAAAGCTGTTAAACCAATTAAATGTTTAGAAAATGTTGCTTTGATGACACAAATTTATTATTCAATCGTTCTTTTCTGAATTACATAATTATGAGTAGCAGCCTAATTTTCACATACATATTTTTTAGAATGAATAGAATCACTTTCAGGTTTTTAAATATATTCAACATTCTGTGCTGATAATCCTTTTGAATTTGCTAATTGTGAAAATCTTGAAAGCAACACTTTAATAAACCACCAGTATACTGACTGGCACAACACCATACATAACATTCAAAAGCCTGAAATTTTATAAATATTTGACCGTATAGGAACTAATTATGATTGAAAGTTGCAAAACATGTAAAAGCTATGAACTTAATGAGAAAAACCCTCATGAAAATGACTCTCTAAGCAGAGCATGTTTTTATAATATTACAAAGAGGGAAAATTATTGAAATTTAATTCAGCCAGTACTTTTGTTGGAAAACTAATTCAAGAATAAAAAATCATTGCTTAGTGTTTTAATACGACATCTGCTATTAGGCACAAAAATAGAGATGAATTTAGATTTTGTGTAACTTTAAAACTGTCAGTGGGTGATGTTACACTTTAGTTATTCCAGTGATAGACTTATTGCACACACACTTGTTACAATGATTGATATGTAGTGAAGAAAAAGGAAATAGACCTCAAGATTTTCTGAACTCCATGAATTTGTTACAAATTATTTTATTGACCTACATTATTTTATACCGTTTTTTTAGTGTTTAACGTAATTCTGAGATATTTGGTAATGAAGCTTTGATTGAGGAAGCACAAAATAGTCTTTTCGATTGAAATGTGAAAAACCTTTCAAACTTCTAATGCGATTAATTTGAATATTTCAGTTTTGTAATGAATTTCACTTTGATAAATAGGCAAACTTACCTAGACAATTTAGTGGAATTAGCTATTAGACTTTAATGAAGTTACATCACAAAAAACAAAGCTTAAAATACTTCTTTGCTTTTTCTAATTTATAAAATTAATATTATTCGATGCGTATGAATAATAAAATATCTTCAGCTATGAATACCAACGAAAGTGAAATAGACTGAGCTATTAAAAAACAATGTGGCAACATTTAAATATTTTTTAAACATGTAACAAACTGACCTTGAAAATCTTGTTAAAAATTACGTATATTAACTTAAACGAAATCCTAATTTGTAAATATATTGCAAGAGCCACTTGCTTACCTTGAGTGACAACTGTACGTCTAGTAAGTACGAGTAGGAACTACACAGGAGAAGGGTTAAAAGTACCCTTCATTAAATTCTTTAAAATTCACAATGCGTCGACCTGACGCTAATACACTACGCCTCAACGGCGGCCATTGAAATAACAAGAACTGAACTAAAAATTCGAAAATATTAACAAGTAGTAGAAATTCTCTACAGAGCTTAGAAAACTCCTGTTACTTAAAACCGCGTCGAAAACTAGTGGCAGCAAGTAAAAGCTGTTATGCCACGTAAAACAACAATAACTGCAGAAGTCGA